AAAAAATTATTACTTTTCAATCAACTAAATCTGCAGCTTTTTTTAAGATTGGAACAAACATGAGCGAAAGTTTCGATTGGCATAGTTTCCTCGAATCTGTTGAGGATTTATGTCGGCAAGTGGAGCATAGGATACAATTATCAGATTCAAACACGTTACAAGATTTTTTATTCAGACTTCAGGCAAAACGAACAGCATGCGAAAGGTTAATCGGAGCTGCTGTTGCCTCTGGAGTAGATACTTCTGTTTCTGAGAATGTTCAAGGAAACGTCAAGCGGCTGAGCAATGTCATACAGCATCTCATTGATGATGTTGAGCGACAGTTACAATCAGTTGACTCTACCTTTTATAGCTCTTCAATATTTTCGGAAACTCTCGTACATCGTAATGGTTCGGTTGGGAGACCTAAGCTTGTCATTAACTTAACTCAGATAGACTATCTTCGCAGCTGGCAGTTTACATGGACAAGGATATGCCACACGCTATGTGTTTCAAGGACTACACTATGGAGGCGACTGAAAGAGGTTAATTATAATTTCCGAGAAAGTAGATTTACCATTATTTCAGACATCGATCTCCAGCAACAAGTGGCTGGCATAAAAGCAGAATTTGAAAATACTGGGGAGAGAATGGTTATTGGCATCCTTCGTTCCAGGGGTATACACGTTCCTAGACATCGCGTAAGAGATATCATTCGTCGCATTGACCCAATCAACACAGCTCTTTGCTGGCGAGCTATGCATCCCAGATATCAATACGACGTTCCTGGACCTAACGCACTATGGCACATAGATGGATTACACAAACTTATTCGTTGGGGGTTTGTGGTTCACGGGGGTATTGACGGTTTCTCAAGGCTTGTGGTTTTTCTGAAATGTGCAACGAATAATCGAGCAGAAACTGTCATGTCCACCTTTATGGACGGTACAAGAAGGTATGGGATACCGTCGCGTGTTCGCTCCGATCACGGAGGGGAAAACGCTGATGTCGGCAGATTCATGGAGTCGATTAGGGGGCGAGATCGAGGTTCACATATACAAGGTTCGTCTGTGCACAATCAGCGTATTGAGAGGCTGCACAGGGACACTACACGGTGTTGTCTCTCTAGCTTTTACACAGTGTTCGACCACATGGAAAACGAAGGGATTCTTGATCTTTCTAATGACACAGATGTTTTCTGCCTTCACTACGCATTTCTTCCCCGCATCAATAGAGCATTGGAAGGATTTCGCTTGGGCTGGAATCATCATTGCCTAAGAACGGAAGGGAATAAAACCCCGTATCAGATATGGATAGCTGGCGTGATAGGTGACGCCTATCGGGGGTACACGGCAGTCCAGGACATATTGAACCCCGATTTGACAGTGTATGGAGTAGGAAGGGACAGCACCGATTTGTGTGTCGACGATGACAATGAAACTGTGACTGTGTTGGAACCTAACTGCCCTCTTTCTGAAGATCAGATCTCAATTTTGAAAGGAGAGATTGACCCCTTGTCTAATAGTACAAATTTTGGTGTCGATATCTACCTCCGAACAGTACATTGCGTTGCGCGTATCCTAGGCTCCTCACAAAGCCATTGCTAAAAAAAGCGGGGCTCCACGCCCGCGCTTGTTTCCTTTTTTTTCGGAGGGGCTTATACGCGGAGGGAAGTTTGCGTTTCCGTTTCGCATTCTTTTGGTCAGACATTTGTTAACATTTACTCGTGAATCAAGATATACGTTTGCCCTTCTTGATTGTGTTAATTTGTTAGCCTATAACGAGGATTTCGTTTAATGGAGGTTCTGTTCAATACATTTTATTTCATGATTTTGGCCGGGTTAAAGGAAATACTTCATTTATCCGAGGACTTCCATTTTATATAGGTTTTCCCCCCAAGTAAGGCGAGGCGGGGGGGGGGTCGTTGTATAAAACTTTATCGCCTTTGTATTTTTCACGTCTATCTTTTTTGTTTTTGATGACGATGATATGTTAATAGCATTTTTATTACTCACTAACCCTTTTTGACATTCACAAACCCACGAGCACAGCAACGACGACGACGACGGCAGCGATAACGGGAACACCGCAATAGGTTTATTAAGCCAAAAAAGAAAAGTTTGCACGCTTCTTGTATATTTCTTTGCGGTAACTCAACGACTGCGACCTGAAAATGCGTAATTTTAAGTATTACGGAGGATGTGAATAAGCAAAGACGAAATTTTCTTTCTCTTTTTAAACTTAAGTGCCGTCCCCGAGAAATAAACTCCAGGGAAATTTGTGTAGAGTAGGCATTTTCCGGCGAATTGGAATAAAGGCGATAAAGTTTGAAGGAAACCCAAAGTCATTAAAAAAGTGACGTTTTCCCCGTAGTAGCCGTCGTCGATGCTAAAACTCTTATATCCCTGTTACATGTAACTTCAAGTTGACAGAGGAGATGTGTCACTATATTTATCAAATCAAAACAGTGGGAACCACCACCAAATTGAGAGGAATCGATTACATTGACAACTCAGAAGCCTGCGGGAAAATATAAATAAAAAGGCATTTACAAAAGCTGAGACGGATAGATAAACTTTAAGAAGGATGCAACTTACTACAAGTGTGGTTCCCGAAAAGTAGTTTGCCTAACCGTTTAACTTTCAAACTTCATTCCTTTTCGTTCCTTGTGACTGGTGTTGGAAAGAAAAAATCTACCCAACTTTTCTACGTTGACGCCTATTCCAATAACTGCTAACTAATGTTTATTAATGGAAAGAAAGACAGTATTTCAAGGAAAAGAAAAACAACTATTCTATCGGAAATTCTTTATGGAGGGTCTCAAAGGTTAACAGTTCAGGGTTATCGGTTCCTGACGGCGGTTCTAGAATCGTTTCTCTCTATAATGAAGTCAAAGTGGTTTTTTTTTTCTTTGTTATTATTATTTTGTTTTTTGAATCTCAGTTTTCTCGTTTCGTTTGCTCTACCTAGTACGAACCTTTTTGTGACATGGTATAGGTAGACTGATTGAACAGTTTTTTCACAATAAACGTATTAACAAGCAACATCGATTTCTTGCTTTTTTGCGGCTATAAAAGTTAAACTTTTTGACCCTCTTTACGGTAACATATTATTCTTTATTTTCTGCCGCAGTATTCTCTGGTTCTCCAGATTGAGCGTCTTTGTTGTCTTTGTTAGGAACATCACAAAAGGCCCTGCATGCCTTAATAACGTCATCATCTTCAAGGGTAACCAATTTCACACCGTCATCTGTAAAGGAGAGGCGATTACTTAAATTTATAACCGCCTCTGCTACAATATTCTTGGCCAGCCTTCCGTTCTGCTCGCTGCGAATCTGTACCGTTGTTTCTTTTTCAAGGATTTCGACCAAGCTCGTCTCGCCACCGAAACGGAATCCACTTTCTGTGATTCCGTTCTCAAGAATAGTGGCCAGTTCGCTGACGGAGTAGTTGGGGAAATTAAATTTATATTTTATCCTGGACTTAAGTCCAGGGTTTGAATTTAGAAAGTCCTTCATTTCTGCAGGGTACCCAGCAAAAATCATCACTAGATCACCTTTCTCCATTGCCGCCATCAGCTGGTTGATGGCGATACGCCCGTAGTCCGTTCCCGAGCTTCTGGGAGTTAACCGGTACGCCTCGTCTACGAATAGAACGCCTCCTTTTGCCTCCTCTATTTTGTTGGCCGTCTTTTCCTCAGTTGACCCCAGAAACTGACCAACGAGGTCCCCCCGTTGGACCTCTACCACTTTCCTCTTTTTAATTTTCCTTATACTGTACAGCAGTTCTGTGATATTAAAGACAGTGGGAAAATTTTATTCAATTAATAACAAATAATTTGCAACTCGTGAAACACCGTGGTCGGGGACTTTTTTCCCAAAAAACCCTACTTGAAAAAACAGCAGTAGGCGAGCCCACAAAAGCATCAGAGAGTGATTGTATTTCTTTACATTTCATTGCTGAGAGTATCAATACTTTCTGCATGGTCTGTTGTTTTGCTGATAAAAACACTCATACTACCTACGTCGTTTCAAATTAGTCGGAAGGCCGTCAGATGAGAAGTTGAGTATTTTTCATGAAATCAAATACCGAAAATTAGTAGCCTGCATGAATTTTGTGCACCTTAAATATTGCTACAAATACCTGCAACTTTGCGTGCAAAGGTGGTCTTTCCAGTTCCTGGATTCCCTTGAAATATAAAATGTAAACAGGAACTCATATCTTCGACGTGGAAACCAAGCTGTTTCCTTTTTTGATTTAAGATTGCCGTCTTGGCAAATCTTAAAAATTGTTGTTTGAGTGGCTCCAAGCCAACAAACGCTCTTGTAGACGCTTCCATTTTATGAAAAATTCGTTGATAGTCAACTGATGCAACAAGAGAAATTTTTTACTTAGTAAACTGCCACTGACTGTGGTAATGATAATGATGTTAGTCGCGTATTAGTCCCCACTCATTTTTAGTTCTGCGAGGGTGCTTGCATACAGACATGAGCCATGCTTGCCTACAGACTACACCGGATAGACATCATCAGAATCTTTGCGATTAAATTGGTACGCAATGCACGCATTATTTCTTTATTTAGCATTTATTTGTCTTCCTTTTTTTCATGCTTTTTTTTCTCAAAAACCATACATATATCTCAGTTAAAGTTAAACATAGTATAATCGACTTACCTTCCTTGTCGTCGTCTATTTCAATACAGTCGTCATCGCTCTGGCCATCCTTTCCACTGGAGACCAATCTATAAGAAAAACCTGAAGGTGAGAAAAACGACCATTTGGATTCTGTCTATGAGGGCTTATTTGTAGCCAACCTACCTCTTCAGTATATCCTTCTGCTCTCTTTTATCTGGAAGGGGCGGCTTTTTAATTGCGAGGTCACTGGTACTTTGTATATAGATGAATGTAACTGCAGACAACAGGTAAGAACTGGAATCAGTAATAAAGTAACAAGGGGCAGGTTCATAGTATGGCTGTATTGTTTATGGAATAAACGCCTTTTTCAGTTAATGAATTAAAAGTATGTAAAGAGGGCGAACCTGACGAGTCGTAGCGATCTTTTCTGCCGAGGTCCTTGAGCAACCCCACTGTCAATTCTACTTCATACATATTAAGGCCGTCGTGCACAATCCTATAAAATCAAACGAGCCCAACTTTAAGGTGTTACCATGTAGCATCAACAAATTAAAAATGCTTTAGGTTTTTCAATGCGGTCTGCCTATGAATATCAGTAGACTAGTTTTGCACAACTGTACTCATGAAAGGGAAACGTTAACCATCATACCCAAGGCTTAACTACGAAAGATAAAATCAGGAAGTTACTGACAAAAATTTACGTAATCTCACTAGAGTTCATTCTCTCTGACGGTGATCATATTTCAACAGGAACTTTCTTTAACATGTTATTTAAATGACTTAGAGGTGTGCCGCCTCCAGATCCTATAAACCTCATACAATGTATGCTGAAATTAAAAATAACCGGGCCAGGCTATGGTGTTCTAAACCAAAGTATATAAAGCAGACGTCAATGTTTGCTCTGCTTACCAAGTAGATGGCCGCATTGCAATCATCGCGTATTGATGGTTTCTTACTTCTGAGTGCACGATCATGCCATGTAACACGAGCGTTCCACGTTCACAATCCACTGAGTGAACACCTTCGTCCTCTGGATTTGTAAAATCCGCCATAGGAATATGCGTTGGTATCTCGATTGGTCGATTGTCCTGTTTATAACAAGTCAGAGACAACCAATAAACTTATATGTGGAAAACGTTATAGAAATAACTAATGGTGTAAAGCGTTAAACATTATCAAATACTTATAGGTAACTGATTTGTGTTAACTTATGTAATCGCTAAAGATAACATAATTATGAAACTGCACCTTAGCGATACAGCTATCGTCATCATCGGAAACTTCTCCTTCAATGTCTTCTACTTGATTTTGTGCCGAACCACTTGTTGACGCAACAGAGCGCAGATATGTTCTTCGAAACTGGGAGTTAAGAAAAAAGTAAAACCAAAAGTAAGAAAATTAAAAATTCTAACCAAAAAATAAAGTTACTGTGATTGATTACTGAGCTTGTACCGTGGACTTCCACTGTACTGAGAAATCGTGTATTAGCTGTTTTACTAGATTTACACAGGGTACGCACACAGTACTATTGCGTAGTACTTCACTTTGCACGTACTAAATTAGAAAGGAAACATTCCAAGAATTGTAAAGGGCCTTCTGAAAACATGCAAAAATTGACTTCCAAAAATAAGAAAAAATCTGTCATAATCGCAAAAAAGTAGTTCTCGCAAAACACAAAAAAATCGCCAATCCTCAAAAAAACTGAAACCCAGACAAAAACGGCGCATACACGATACCTAGACATTTTCATGCAGTGTCCGTGCAGTGACAACAAGAAAGTACAAAATTGCGATGCACATGCAAACAGATTTGCTACTTTACAATCTGACCTTCATATTCAAACACGACATTCAAATCGCAAGTGAAAAATACAAAACACAAAACAACAAAAACACAAAATAGCAAAATATAGAAGACGGTTAAGAGAACACAAGTCAGTAAGTAGTGTGATTAACTAGAGAACTTAGACAAAGTTTAGATGAAAAAAATAAGAATAACAATAAGTAAATCACCTGTCTGCCGCGTGTTTCCGAAGATTTGGATGAGCGTGGCGTAGAAGCCGAAAAGGACAGTAGGCCGCCATCTCTGGTGGCGTAATCTACCAACTGAAACAATAAAGCGATTTATTATGGGACTAGTCAGAGAAAATGTGCTTACTGACACTACGTTTGTTTCTTTGGTTTCTTGTAAATACAATTGTGACTGTTCAAAACTTTAACTTATGGTAGTAATATCAGATCATTAATGACGAAAAAATAGCAGTTTGGACTACAGATATTGCAAAAAAAAATAAAAAAACATCACCTCACTTTCGTGCTCACGTTCCTCCTCCTCGTCACCATCTGGCGGAGGCCTGTCAGGTGCTGGAGCGGACAACATAACGTACAAATTGTTGGTCGACTTCGATTTAAGGGTGTACACTGCTTTACCGTCTAATGTTTGGCAAGGACTTAAATTTAAAACTACTCTGCCCTGTCTGGAGGCGTACAGAACAGTTTCGTTAAACAAAGGAAATCTAGATTTAACAATGGCGAGAATCCTTGTTCGAATGGAAGAGTCCGATTCATTTTCTCTCACCCGAAACGGGGCGTCTAAGAGAACACTACCGTCATAGCTTTCGGTTTTTCCAGTATCGTTGACTTCACGAATAAAGTCAACGAGGACTAATTTCATGTCATACGATTTTGGCTCCCTCTTTTTACGTCTGCCATATGGAACGTAGCGTCCAGAAGAAAAAGACTGATGCAGGGAGGGCATGACAGGGCCAGTTCTACTCGATGCGGGGAGCGACGAACCAAGCACGCGACCAACATCGTCGGCAAGGCGGTTATCATCCCTTAGAGAACGAACGATGTTGGAAGCACTCGAACCCGTAGAAGACGAGTGAGTCCCAGAAGAGGGCTGGCGATTGCTTAATATCGTCACTAGGGTACGAAGAAGTTGATCGTTAGAATCACTCATCTGGAGAAATTAGAGAATGAGAACTGCACAGAGTTTTGAGATTTCAGCCTGTGAGGTGGTGCCTGATCCAGAAAACGCAACCGATTGAAAGCAACTGGACTTACTGAAGTGTCTGCACGTTTTTATACGCTGAGAAATGTACCAAAATTTACGCCAAACATTCAAGCGAAAACAGAATACAGGAAGGATGTGTATGTAAGAGCCAAATACTTTTAATTCTGAGTGGGCGATAAGGTCGCGGAACTTGTTGCCGACCCGTGGACACTCAATTAAAAAAAAAAAAACAGACAGGAAACAAAGGTAACCCCAGCACTGGCCAGGGAAGGTCACATCCGTCTAAAGTGCAAGTCCAATAATGACCTATGAAAGAACAATAAAACTTTTGTCTAATGTTTTTTTGACAAAACGTGGCCTAAATGTAATGGATTTGGCGACCCCGATCACCCAGTGTAATATCAAGGAAAGAAATTATTTCGCCTCTTTCTGGACGAAACAATGAAACCATACCTTACAACAGAAAGGATAAGTGTACTTCCACTACATCAACAAAGCTTAATTATTAGCTGTTATTCTTTATTTTTTTTTAACGCTGAAACTTTTACATTAACTATTTCATCCTAACGTCGCAGGCAAACATTGTAAAAGAACGATATGTGTTGAATCAAATTAGTGAAGAAAGAAAGAACCATCGATCACAATTTTCTCACGCTTTTCCACATAACAACTTCCATTTGTTTCACCTCGTGCGATTATGGGGTGATGTCATGCAATGGGTTGGGGGTGTGTGTGTGTGTGTGTGTGTGGGGGGGGGGTGGCGGGTGAACGGCTGTGGGTGGTGGTTGGGCAAAAAGTTCTAAAATACAGACCCTACTTATGAGCACACCTTCGATTTTATCAAAGGACAAAATGGAAGCCGTTTCATTCTTGTTTTAAAGGCCATTATCTAATCAATCGTGCAGCGAATACCCTCTTGATATTTAGAAAAAACTCGCAGAAAAGTATCAGACTATTTGAATACCATATCCCCTGTCCAGCTGGCCCCCATGAATTATCTTAAGGAGTACACCCCCCCAGATCGTATCTTATCTAAGAAAGTTCTCTGAAAGAGCAATACGGCAAAGTAGGTCACTAAACAAACACCAATTGCATGGACAATGGGTCCGTGATTTTAACTTATCTCCTTGGCTATTTTCGAAAGATAACGGATGTGACATGGCACTTGATGCAGTAAGTGCCCTGATTGAGGTACATGTTCATATAAGAATACCTCACGGTCCCGGCCGGCAAAAGAAGCAAAAGAAAGCCGAGGGAGTATTGAGAGCTTAGACGACCTTTGATCGGGCTGGGGGAGGTCAATGGAAAAGCACCCAACGTTTTCCTTACTCCTTGAAAGGTCGATTCACGAGCTTAATGATAAGATTTGTCGATGACTTTATTGAAGGGGATGATATCACAAATAAGAGAAATCTTTACGTGCTGCATGGGGGCTTGGGTCATGGGTGGGCGGGATACTCCCAGGAAAGAGAAAGGGTTCTTGCTGTCTCGGATAGGCGTGTAGATTCCCCGCAAGGGTATCCTAAAGGAAAAGATGGCAGCTCTGTTCTAACGATTAACTTAGCTTAACACGGAAACCAAAAATTATTTTCATGAAGTGTAACTTTTCTGTAAGGTAGATTTTATTCTCCATCAAGCATACCCGTACGTCCTTTAATGTAGAAACGTCACCTCCGGTTCCAAATAACGTGAGCAAGGCGAAGGCGTTAAAAAGGCGTCAAAGGATGGCCACTGCCCTTGTCAGATACTAGGGACCTTAAGATGCCCTGGACGCGGCGGTAAAGAGAACGGAGAAAGCCTGGAGCGAGGACGCCGCCACCTTCGTGGGAAAAACAAATTAAGATTCAGCAGGTTGAGTGGAGTGCTCGCCTGACGAGAGGAGGATAAAGTAATACTTTCGTGTTTTAATTCCATGATGTCTTTTAGAAAAACTCGTGAAATCTTGCTTGATTGATATCTTAACGATCTTTTATTGGAAGAAAAATTTGTGCTGCCGGCTATGACTCCAGTTTCTCTAAAAAAAAAACAAATTTCTTCGAGGGAAACTTGAGGGTATGATTGGAGTCAGGAGCCGATTGTCGGAATTCAGGTTATCAGCTATTTGTTGCCGGACTTTTTCGCTTTCCGTTGTTCTAGATCTTGCTTTAAACAATATGGTTCTGTTATGAGAACTTCCCGTACTAAGGCGAGATTTTGATCTTCAGACTGCTCCATCGCTGAACTGAAAGTGAACAAAATAAAATTATAAAAGTTAATAAATGAACCATGGCGTCTTGTTCAAGATCTCAATTTTCTCTGATATGTTCAAGTTTATTGCAAGCCTAGATTTTTGTTTTCCAACAATTTTTATTCCACTTCTCGTCTCTTAAATTTTTCAAATACTATCCTAAACCGAGAACGTTGTCTCCTTAAAAACAAGCAGTTATAGTGTTACATTTGTGTCAAAAGACTCAGCGCTTTCATTCTCAGTTGCCGCCAAAACACTGAACCCAAAAGCTTGATAGCAAAAAAATAAGAGTCAATCTTGAGAGAACACCACACTAAAAACACTCCGATGTGTCTCTTGAAGTAAAATGGATCGAAAATCCTGTACGAAAAGCAATTTCTGCACTGTAAACAAGAAAACCAACTCACCGTTTTACGAGGCGGCCAAACTTCTAGTTTTCACCGTCGCGACTCCAGGTCGACGCTGTGGCATTATGCTAATTAGTTCCAAGAATTGAACATTTCACTTCCGGTTGACGTCCTCCTCGGCCGCGTCCAGAGTATCTTAAGGTCCCTACTATCTGCAAAAAGGATTAATTTTGTTTCCCTCACCTGCTGATAAGAAACAAAGGACACGACACTTGATCTTGTCACCAACTCATTAAGCTTAAAATAAACATACAAACTCATGTGCCGGCCTTTGCTCCTGTCGTCTCTTCTTGGCTTGAACGGTACTAGCCTGACAGCAAGCTTTTTTTTTTTCTTCTGTCTAGACGTGAAAGTTTCAACCGAAGAAAGCGTTGGTGTTTGCTAGAATATATTTTTTGATTTCCAATTTCTGTTTCATAAATTTCGTGCTTTATTCTTCTGCTCACAAGAAACACGATTTTTAAAATGAAGTTACACAGACTTCATTTTTTTTTTGGTTTCTTTTTCTTTTTTTTTTTTCACAAATCGATAAGCACACCGAGCAATAGCGAGTGCGGAGTGAGAGACGGAAGGGAGCCTATCTTGTCTTTTTCCTAACCCCACAATCCTACTATATACAAGGTAGCCGAGAACAGCCTATAGCCGCCTCCTGAAAATAAAGACAAACTAGTTCTGCTCACGGTCGTATAAAAACAATATAAAAATACTCAGCCAAGCAGAAAAGGTCTCATACATCACGGCAGTAAAATGATATCAAGGTAGAAAATGTCGCATCACGGCAGTAAAATGAAATAAAGGTAAAAAAGATCGCATCACGCCAGTAAAATGATATCAAGTTAGAAAAGATCGCATCATGGTAGTGAAATGATATCAAGGTAGAAAATGTTGCATCACGGCGGTAAAATGATATCAAGGTAGAAAATGTCGCATCACGCCAGTAAAATGATATCAAGTTAGAAAAGATCGCATCACGGTAGTAAAATGATATCAAGGTAGAAAATGTTGCATCACGGCAGTAAAATGATATCAAGGTAGAAAATGTCGCATCACGGCGGTAAAATGATATCAAGGTAGAAAATGTCGCATCACGGGAGTAAAATGATATCAAGGTAGAAAATGTTGCATCACGGCGGTAAAATGATGTCAAGGTAGAAAATGTTGCATCACGGCAGTAAAATGATATCAAGGTAGAAAATGTCACATCACGGCAGTGAAATGATATCAAGGTAGAAATGTTGCATGAGGGCAGTAAAAATATATCAAGGCAGAAAATGTTCCATCACAATAGTGAAATGATATCAAGGTAGAAAATGTTCTATCGCGGTAGTAGAATGATATGAACCTGTAGTAAATTTTCCATCAAGGTAGTGAAATGATATCAAGATAGAAATTATCGCATCACGGCAGTAAAATGATATCAAGGTAGAAAATGTCCTACGACGATAGTAAAATGATATCAAGGTAGAAAATATCGCATCACGGCAGTAAAATGATATCAAGGTAGAAAATGTCCCATCACGCCAGTAAAATGATATCAAGGTAGAAAATGTTGCATCACAGCAGTAAAATGATATCAAGGTAGAAAAGATTGCATCACGGCAGTAAAATGATATCAAGGTAGTAAATGTTACATCACGGTAGTAAAATGCTATCAAGGTAGAAAATGTTTCATCACTGTAGTAAAATGATATCAAGGTAGAAAATGTTATGTCACGGTAGTAAAACGATATCAAGGTAGAAAATGTTATGTCACGGTAGTAAAACGATATCAAGGTAGAAAATGTTACATCACGGTAGTAAAATGGTATCAAGGTTAAAAATGTTACATCACGGTAGTAAAATGGTATCAAGGTAGAAAATGTCGCATCACGGTAGTAAAACGCTATCAAGGTAGAAAATGTTACATCACGGTAGTAAAATGATACCAATGTAGAAAATGTTTCATCACTGTAGTAAAATGATATAAAGGTAGAAAATGTTATGTCACGGTAGTAAAACGATATCAAGGTAGAAAATGTTACATCACGGTAGTAAAATGGTATCAAGGTAGAAATGTTACATCACGGTAGTAAAATGGTATCAAGGTAGAAAATGTCGCATCACGGCAGTAAAATGATATCAAGGTAGAAAATGTTACATCACGGTAGTAAAATGATATGAAGGTGAAAAATAACAATGGTTGGTTGATTCTATCACAGGAACATTTTATTGGATATCTCACAACCACGTTAAACAATACGTTTACAAATAATTTTGAAACAAACGGCGCGCCATACCCGTCTGCCTTTTGAGGCCGGTGTGTTAAAGCAAAA